TATGAGAGTCCTCCCAGGTCCATTGGACCCGCCCTCCCTCCCTAACCACAACATGACAGATGTTGAGCAATGACAGCTGATGAAAACTGACATCACATCAGCTGTTCCAACATAGTTGAATAACCCTCACTCCTCTGAAAATGTCTGCCCATGTGCCCTTGAGCAATGAGCTGAAGTTCACGTTGCTCTTTAAGACTGGGGCCAAGGCTGGATCCACCAGCTGGTCAAAGGGTCAACTGGTTTGTGCTCATTTAAACTTCACCATCATAGGCTCCTTAAGGCTCCTGCTTCATTACCTGGTCTTGAGGCCCTATCTTGAAGAGGGTCAAGGACAAGTGTAGACCAGTTCTAAGACTAAATGTATGTTTCATCAAATAACTATGAATCAAACCTGGGAACAGGAAGACCAACCCAGAAAGACTACACACTGCTCAGAGTGGGGTGAATGAGGGTAGTAGAGTATATTGGCCCCCAGTGCCCTAGCAGGTTAATGTGGCTGATGACTGTATGTAATATATAACATATATCCCTATATGCAGAGTGAGATGGCCGTATATGCCACCTATAAGGGGATATATTATCACACCTCATATATTAAGGTATACGTTTACATAATATATGAAATACCCATCTTAAAAATTGCATATCTACATACAGTATATTAAAAATATCTATATGATGAAATCTATAGACTATAACATGTTGCTACTATATATGTTAATGATATACAGCATATTTGATTTATATTGGGATGGATCTATATTTACATAACAATATAAGTAATATAAGTTAGACATATATGTCAATATATGAAATAGTTTTTACTATTATTTTTATGCCTCTGCACTCTGACACTCGGGAGCCGGAGACATTGTGTTCGGGTTGTCCGTCCATCCGTCTGTATATATAGATTGTACGTTCCTCCGTCCCATTCTTGTGGACATAATATCTCCGTAACACCTTGTGAGAATTTCTTCAAATTTGGCCAAAGTGACCACTTGGACTCAAAGATGAGCTGATTTGATTTTGGTGGCTAAAGGTCAAAGGTCAAGGGAAGTGTGACCTCACAAAACACTTTTTAGCCATTACTCAAGACTTCACACAGCAATTATGACAAAATTTCACACAAATGGTTCATATTTTTAAATGACTCTGGATAAACAGGGATAAATGGGTTTTTATTTTATGTGTGTATATATTTCATAAATGGAAATTCAACATATATACATATACAGTATTACATTTGTGTGTGGGTAAGGAAACACAGGAGCTCTGAGGGGTTGATAACATTAGAAAGATGCTGTATAAGTACAGTCCACTTACTGTAGAAACTGTTGCACCTGCACAGCAGGATCCAACATGTTTTTGTGATCCACAGATGTCTACACTTTGGATGTTAAACCCAACATTTACACAGACAGACAGAGAATCCTTCACATGAAATGATTCAGTTCATCTGGAAACCTGTGTTTTAGTAGACAGCAAAACTGCAGTGTGTCTTCAGTAGAGTGAGCATCGTTTAGATTATTTATTATTCTCAGTTATGAAGTGACCTCTGTGACCTCCAGCCAGTGACTGATAACAGACTGTCTCCCTCCCTCCTATTGCTCACAAATGTGAATCACTAAGAACTAATCCTCCTCCACACCAAGACAAATCTCTCAAAACAAAACTCTTCAGGTAATCAGAGGTAATCTCCATGTAAGCAGCCCACCAAACCTTTCTATTAAAAATACAAGGTGTTCCAGTTAACACATCACTTGGTGGCAGCTCTGCACATTTGCAGCTCTACAAACAATGATCCCTCTCTAATCATTTGACTGGAGACCTGCGTGTCTGCTGTTTAAAGCTGGATGTCACATAACTTTAGTTAATAAGTTGATTTATCCTAGCTTTAAAGTGTACCAGATATTCAGTTAAACATCCCATACTGTGAAGAAGAGGAAGCTGTATCATGGATGCAGAGCTGGCGCTAAGCTAAAGGCTAGGAGATGGAGATAAAAGCCTTTTCTACCATCGATCCTCATGGGAAATGTCAACTCCCTGGCTAACAAGTGTGATGAACTGGAGGCACTTGTGAAGAACCAGCAAGAATATCGTGAGTATAGTGAGTAACAACAACACTCACGACTGTTGTGTACCCGGCTTCACTGCAGTATGAGATATTAGAGATTGAAGAGAGATGTGAAGAGATTGAGATTGAACTGTTGGCAGTTGGTCTTAGACCGTACTATGTACCGAGGGAGTTCTCTCACATCGTTGCCATTCAGCCGTGAGCAGAGCCTGTCACATGTGACGTCAGACTGTACACACTGTACACACTGTAATACCAGCAAGGACTGTACACTGCTTTCCAAACAACAAACCCTGGATCACCAGTAACATCAAGAATCTCCTCAACCAGAAAAAGGAGGCCTTCAGGGATGGAGACAGGGAGAAGCTCAGGTGTGTGCAACATGAACTGAAGAGGAGATTAAAGCAGGTGAAGGAGGACGACAGAAAGAAAGAGGAGAGGAAGCTGCAGCAGAACAACACCAGAGAGGTTTGGAGGGGGATGAGGACCATGACTGACTATAAAGAGAGGAACAGCCAGGCAACATCAAGTGATGTGGACAAGGCCAATGAGTTCAACCTGTTCTACAACAGGTTTGACACAGCCTCACCTGTTCTCTCTCCCACTGCTTCAGCTGCAGCTTCTCCTACGGCATCTCCTTTACAACCTGACACTGCAGCTGCAACTCCCTCCACACTGGGGTCAAGTCTCCTGTCCTTTACAGCGGAGGAGGTGAGGGTGAGGCCCAAGGGGCTACGTCCTGCAAAGGCAACAGGCCTGGATGATGTGTGTCCGAGGCTGTTAAAGGACTGTGCAGCCAAGCTGGCTGAGCCTCTCCAGAGGATCTTTAACTTAAGCCTTCAAACAGGGAGGGTCTCGGTCCTGTGGGAAACATCATGTCTTGTTCCGGTCCCTAAAGTAGGACGACCGGCTGAGATAAATGACTACAGACCAGTGGCCCTCACATCACAAATCATGAAGACCCTGGAGCAGCCGCTTCTCCACCTTCTGAGGCCACAGGTTGAACATGCACTAGACCCCCTACAGTTCCCTACAAGGAACATATTGGAGTGGATGATGCTGTTCTTTACATGCTCCACCCATTCTTACTTGGATGAGCCAGGTGGTTACATGAGGATTATGTTCTTTGATTTTTCAAGTGCATTTAACATCATCCACCCCCCCATCCTTAAAGACAAGCTGGAAGGGATGGGGGTGGATCCCTGCTTCACGTCCTGGATTGTGGATTAACTGACAAGACGACCAGGCTGGGTAACTGTGTCTCGGACAGTGATGAGCAGCACTGGGGCTCCACAGGGGACTGTTCTGGCTCCATTCCTGTTCACCCTGTATATGGGCGACTTTAAATACAACTCTGAGTCCCGCCACATCCAGAAATACTCGGATGATGCAGCTATTGTGGCACGTAACAGGAACGAGCAGGAAGAGGAGTACAGGGATCTGACGATGGCCTTCAGTGAATGGAGCAACAAGAACTGCCTCCTTCTGAACACCTCCAAGACCAAGGAGATGGTCATGGACTTTCGGAGGTCTAGGCCCACCCTTCAGCCAGTCAACATTAGAGGGAAGGACATTGAGGTGTTGCACACTTATAAATACCTAGGTGTGCACCTGGACAGTAAACTGGACTGGTCCCTGAACACAGATGCCATCTACCTGAAGGGGCAGAGGCAGCTCTTTTTCCTCAGGAGGCTCAGGTCCTTTGACGTCTGCAGTGAAATGCTGCACATTTTATTTATTATTCAGTGGTGGCCAGTGTATTCTTTAATGCTGCAGTCTGCTGGGGCAGCAGCATGTCAGACATGAACACACACATATGTATGTATATGTATATATATATATATATATATATATATGTTCATTATCATTGTCTCTCCAGCCAAAACACAAAAAGTGATGATAAAATCATGTACTCTCCTTTGACTCTTCTCTCACGCTCTGATCCTCTCCTCCACTGGCACCTTCCACTTGTGGCTGAGAACTAGTCCTACTGTCAGTCCCGACACATTAACCGTATGTCGTCCGCAACATGAATTTACTTTTTTTCCCCCATATTAGAAGAACTAATTCTCTATGCAGGAAAAACCCTGTATGCCACACAAATATTCATCATTGTATTACAATAGGTATTTCATATATGTTATAAACTTATATGTTCATATATCCAGAGGATGTATGTATGTGATAACAATATTTTCCCTTATAGTTCACATATATGGCAACATAACTCTTAATATTGGGACATATATGGCATATATTGCATTTTTGTATAGGCATCATCATTTATTAATGAGTTACTATTATTTGTAACAGGTAGAAGGAGTCTAACTGTAAAGTGTAAAAACACATCACCAATTATTAATGAGTTACTATAATGCTCCTTTTACCAGGTATAAATGGTAGTAACTCATTAGTATGTTTAGTGAGTAGTAAGCATTAACGTAATCTTAAACCAAACCAAATAATGAGCCTGCATCAATGTATGAAAACTGTGTTATAACTATTTTCTTTATAATTGTTTCTTTATGATTTACAAAGTGTTAACAACCAAATTAATATCTTAATTATAAACCATTTATAAATCCTTTATAAGGGTAGTCTTAATGTAAAGTGCTACCAGATGTATGCTCTTTGACCTCAGATGACCCTCCTTTCAAACCTGACATCAGTTTCTTCCCTTCAGACACATTACTGCGCGTAAACAAGGTGTGTCTGTGAAATAGCTGTACATACAGCCTGGGTGTAGGATGTGTGACTTATCTGTTCTCAGTGGGAGGTAAAGCACAATATTTTACAGTGTTAAGGTTCATCATGGCTTCCTGTACTGGAACTGAGAGTGATGAAATCTTTTCTCCAGACTCATCAAAATCATCACGGGTTAGACTTAGTGAAACGAGAAGCTGTGAGTTTAGACTGAAGTGTACGTGACCTGAGTCATCAAGACCAAACCCACAGGCCTGACCATATTTAAGTCTGCCGCTGGTCATTGTGTCGCGTCTTTCGTTGGCCGCACCTGTGATGGGCTCACGGCAAAGAGTTTCTGATATCTGAAGCCTGACAGGCAAGTACTTTTTATGTTTCTACAACCTTGAATGAAAACACTTAACACATGTTGTTGTCTCACAGGATGTCCTTCAGTGTTTCTTTAAGACAGACTCCATGTAACCTTCTCACCACACGCTAGTTGCCGCAGATCTTGAGCAACTTGAGTAACTTGTTATTTTGTTATATGTCTGTAAATGATACTGGTCTTATAAAGCCATACCTTTAAGACATCTGTGTTTATCATGCTGCTGATTTATTCAGCCATTTCCCCTGTTATTACCTGATTAATCTAATTTCATTGTACTTAAAGTGAATTGAATTTTACTGTTGTATCCAAGAGAGTTCAGCAGCCAGTTCCAGTCTTAGAGGGCTGTAGTGATAAACAAAATGTTATCTGAAGCAACAGGATGTCCAACAGGTGCAGCTGCTGTTTTTTTGTGTTATCTGAACTTATCATCGCTTCACTTTTTTGCAGTGTCAGGAGGAGGAGGAGGAGGAGGTTAGTTTAGATTGTCATGAATCAGCTGAGCTTTGACAGGTGACATTTTCTCTAAATGAGTCTCATCCTTCATTTTAAGCAAAGAACTTTAAAGTATTCTTTGAGCTCCAAGAAGTTTGATGAGACTGCCTCAGGAAGTTTAAAGGCTTAAATTCAGTTTAATCAATATTAAAAGGTCTAGTTTATTTAGACCTAAACGTCTTTAATGTGCTCATCTCTTAGAGGGAAATGTAGACACCTTGATTAATGTAGATAGAATAGACTAACGCTCTTAGTGAAGTTTGATGTGTGTGTGTTTCTCTTTCACTTCAGACATTAGTTTCCAGCCATGGGTGACTGGTCTTACCTGTCTGCTCTGCTAGACAAGGTCCAGTCTCACTCCACTGTGGTGGGGAAGATCTGGATGAGTGTCCTCTTCCTGTTCAGGATCTTCGTCCTGGGCGCTGCTGCGGACAATGTCTGGGGAGACGAAGTGTCGGAGTTCTACTGTGACAGCCAGGAACCAGGATGCAAACACACCTGCTACAACTGGATGTTCCCAATATCCTACATTCATTACTGGGTCCTGCAGATCACCTTCGTATCGACGCCCACCCTGGTCTACCTGGGCCACGCTGTCCACATCATCCACAAAGAGAGGAGGATGATGGAGCAGCTGAAGAACAACCCCAATGGAAGTGCACTGAAGAAACCCAAGTACACAGACGACAGAGGGAAGGTGAAGATAAAAGGCATCCTCTTTTGCACTTACATGACCCAGCTGGTATTCAAGATCCTCCTGGAGGTGGGATTCATTGTGGGCCAGTTCTACATCTTTGGCTCTGTGTTCATGGTGTCCTACTTCCACTGTACTGTGAGTCCACCTTGTGCCCATTTCAGCGGAGCCCAGTGTTACATCTCCCGTCCCACAGAGAAGACGATCTTCATCATCTTCATGCTCGTGGTCTCAGGCATCTCAGTGCTGCTCAACATCATCGAGATCATATATCTGCTCTGTAACCAGAGGAGAGACGCCAGGAAACGGCTTCTAGCCAAGGAGCATGTGTCCAGTTTACAGCAGTATCCATCCAATCCTGGCTGGGGGGGCATGAGCAGCCAGTATGGAGGCTTCCCACTGCTGCCTCCACCTGGTCAGGGTCTGACAGAGCTCTGCAGTGACGACAAATATGGCGACTCTGTCATGAAAGAAAAGGACACTTGACACATCAGTTATAATAATTAATGAACATCTGTTGGAGGTGTTTGCTCTTCCTATTTTTTGCTTCAGTTACTCTTAAACATTTTCTCAAACAGCTGGAGTGAGTTACCAACATTTGCTGTTTTTTCTTTAAGCGTTCAATTGAATGAATTAATTTAAAAATAAACCTTGACAATACTGTGCTCTGATTGGTCAGTAACACCACTGTGTCACACATGTGTGTCATCCATTGATATTATTATGTTTGCTATATTTGTAATAGGTAATATTTGTTGCTGTGTTATGACAATATGGGTCACATTGTGCTGTAATAAATGTTTCACTCTGTTATACACGTTACATGTTAAAGAAATAAAATCAATAAAGAAAACAAAATGTGAAAATTAGGACATTAAATCCAAATTTACAGGTTACAAGAGCTCAGTGATACACACAGCTTTTTACTTTTACTTTACTTTTTACTAGTTATTTAATTCTCCACACAAAAAGAGCATGGTGTGGTATTGTTTATCTACTGTGATGCATCTACCTCTGTGTGTGTGAAGGAGGTGCAGGAGTGTATGGATGGTAGGTACGGTCACACTCACTGGTGAGTTGGCAAAAACACTGGAGGGCATGATTCAGATTTCAACTTCAGTGTCCAGGTGACGGTGGGAATCTCAGAGCACATGCTTCCTCCCCTTCAGTGAATATCTGCACGTGGTGAAGAAAGAAATAAACTTAAACACACAGTCAGTAATTTCTGCCTCTAGGGGTCTCAATCAAAACAATAACAAAATACGGCGTTGAGTGACCTCATAAAGTAGCATGGGATCATGGGAGTTGTTGTCTTTGCCACCATTACTGTAAGCTCCTCCCGGTTTAGATTCCTTCAGTGTCAGTGGTTCAGGAAATCAAACAGACCCAGTGATTCTAACTGTTAAAAACACTGAATGAAGCAGTTTCACATTTAAAGTCAGTGTTTGAGCGACGCTGTACGGAGGACAGAGACTCAGGGAAGAGCTGGAGCTGAGATTGATGCTAACCTTTGTTCTGATTGTTTCTCTGATAACTTATGAACCAGATGTTCAGCAGGTTTTTACCAGCAGCTGAATTATCCACAGAGGTGTCCTCCTCTCCATAACAAACACACCAGGGGATTCAAACCAGTAGAAACACCCAGAAAGCAGTTTGACTTTCAAAATCAGAGATTCACCAACGCTCTTCAGTGACACAGGACAGGACGTCTCCAGCAGCTGGGAGCTGAGCTGTCTAACATTTCCTCAGCTTGTTTCTCTGATAACTTCAGATCCAGACGTCCGACGACTAAAATCCTTCATCTGGTTCAAATATAGAGCTGAAAACCACCAAGGTGTCAAAAGTGTATGTGGCTTAAAACTAGACAAAAATCAATGTTGAGCTTCTGTCAGACAAACACACTGACACATGATCATAGAGGATTTGATGTCATTGACAGGAGACCAATGACACGGAGCGTTACCATGATTAAAATCACAGATTTCTCTGGTTTGAGAATTGATGGAAACATTTGGGATAATGTAAGAACACAACTCAACAACATACAGAACATTGGTCTTTACAGATTAGAACTATAAATATAAGCTAGGTGGAGTAAACACGGTGATGAGCTAAATAATAAATAAGCTACAAATGACACCTGCAGTCCACCACTGAGCTATATACTGTATATATATACATATATATATATATATACATACATACATACATAACAGCTATACATGTAGCTGTTGAATTGTATATTATGTATATATGAAACATATATATATATACATGTATATATATATATATATATATGCATCCTCCTCCTTGCAGGTTGTCATCTCTGTAATCAGTCCTCCTCCACACTGGCTGTGAAGAGAGTCCTTCAACTTCAGTGTAAGTGATGGGGGCAGAGTCCATAGTCCTTGTTTTGTGTGAACATGGAAAAAAAGTTCAGTCAAAGCTAATATGATGAATTTGGATTTCATGTTGTAGTCAGCTGTGGCTCAGCATGGAAACACTTTGAAAGCACACAGACATACTTTTATACTGAAATGTTGTAAGTGTATTTGTATAACTCAGACTGCAGCGTCATATGAGCTTCAGATGAACTGAATATATTTTTACATGGAGCAAGACTCTGGACTTTGGATCACTTCAGGAAGGGATCTCTTAGAGTCCAGAACAGGCAGGAAGAACAATTACATTGAAATTGTTTTACTTAATTATTATTATAATATTACTATTCAATTCAATTTTATTTTTGTATAGCTCCAAATCATAACATACATTATCTCAATGCACTTTACAAGGTAAGATTAAACCTTACAATTTAACCATTACACTGTAACAACATCCATAATGTCAGTATCCTAACAATAAATGGCAGAATGAAGGTATATGACGTTCATCACTGCATTATGTCACATGAAACATTTTAATTCTGATATTGAAATCTTACTGAAAAACTAGGCTATAGGTTGCAGCAATGGCTCACATTTAAACACAGTCTCCAGAATCCGTTCCAACAATTTTATTTTTCACAAATCAAGATGCTTAGGTTGATGGATGGATGGATGGATGAATGAATGGATAGATGGATGGATGGATGGGTGGATGGATGGATGGATGGGTGGATGGGTGGATGGATGGGTGAATGGATGGATGGATGGATGGATGGATGATGGATGGATGGATGGATGGATGGATGGATGGATGATGGATGGGTGGATGGATGGATGGATGTATTATGCATCAACTTAAAATATCAGCTGTAACAATAATAATAATAATAATATATTAAATAATAAACTAAAGTAAATCAAGCTGACGTTACTGCCACCATCTCTTTCTTCACTTGCAGGGTAATAAACATAGGAATCTAATGAAACATAATACAAATAAACATTCAATAACCATGCAACAATAAAATACTAACCAAATAACTGCTATAATATTAACCAAATAAAATGACACAAGGTTTGAAAAGTCCATTCTTCAACTCACAGTGGTTCTTTGTTCTCAGTGGTTTGGGTGGAAAGGCGCACTAGTCTGACTAGGTGGGGTTATAGAACTTCCTGGGTGTGGTTAATAGGATGACAGGTGATTTTCAGATGAGGTAGGGTATTAGGCTAGAGGTATTAGACTTATGATTTAACACTTACTATTTAGTAAATATGAACAAAAGTAAATGACACTGACTTCATCAATCTGCAGAGACTATCACTCTCTTCCTGCTGGAGGTCCTAATGAGGGGCTGTCCAATCTGCTGTCACCTGAAGCCACAACTAGGTCACTCATTGGCTTTGCCCTTCTCACAGTGTGTGTGTATGTGTGTGTGTGTGTGTGTGTGTGTGTGTGTGTGTGTGTGTGTGTGTGTGTGTGTGTGTGTGTGTGTGTGTGTGTGTGTGTGTGTGTCCTCATTCCATACTTGTTAAGCCAATGACCCTGTTAAACCCTCAAACATGTCTGTGTAAAACCCTGTAATACAACAACATGTACACAGTGTGTCCCCACACTCACACCTACACTGCATCATCTCCACCACTAGGTGGTGGTGTGCACCGGTGGAGTGTAGTCATGGAGACCCAGTGGTTCAATGGAAAGTTACAAAATGCACAGAGGCAGTTTTAGTTTGACTGTAGGAGTGTTAGTGGTGAATATATTTAAATTCATAATGATAATACTTTTTAAAATAATTATATGTTAACACTTGATAACCACAGGGGGCTTTTATCATTAGCTACAGCTCACCAGGAGAGAAACACTGCAGTATATTCAAGATATATAAGATGATGGATAAATATCACCTGCTAAAAAGCTTCAGTTAGAGTATATAGCAATATACAAACATTATAATTACATTGTCAATATAATCAGTGCATTGTTACTAGGGATAAACGTTAATTATACATTTGGTTCAATTGAGTTAAGCTCACAGCTCTCACATCAACACAACATCAGCTGAGGTACTTAAAGAAAAAAGAAATCCAGAGAATCCAGATCTTCTTCTTATGTAAAAGTATCAGGACCAAATATCAAAATACTCATTAACATCGACTGATGGAGCAGTGGTGTTTCTCCTGTTGGTGTGTTCTTAGATCTGGTGGTTGAACTACATGATTATTTGTATGTCCTGATCACATGTTGAATGTAAGCTGCACAGTAACAGCAGCTGCAGCAGCAAAAACAGAGGAGCTGCAGTAAAAGTGTTGGAGAACTCTGAGACCTCATCTGTCTGTTTAAAAGTGTTTCAGAGGGACGCTCATTTCATCTGCTGCGTGTTGTTGCCACATCTGGATTCTGTTGTTTCTGCACAGATGAAACAATAGAGTCCGGACTCCACACCTTGGCGGTCCCAGTGCGAATCTCTCCCTGTGTCCTCCTCGCAGACCGGGATCGGACCTGACGTAGAGATCAGGTGACTGTGAACTTCTCTGACGGGACTCTTAAAAGGGATTTCACCATCGTCAGAGGGAGACTGGTACAAGTGGCGGAGAAAGTCCCTGCGGGCCCTCTTCTGTATCTCTCAAACTTCCCAGGTAAGTTAGAGCCACTTTCTGTTGGACTTGTGCCGCAGAGACGCTGAAGCTCCGCCGCTGCCTCTGTCTCTGCTGCTGCTTCACTAACTTTGAGAAGTTTCCCTCCGCTTCTCTGCTCCGTTTTTAACTCCTCACTTTCACTAAGAAAACCCCAGACTCACATCTGGAGGGAGAAAAGTAGATAAAATAGTTTTTTCATTTACTGGTTGATATTTTCTTTTGCTTCAGTTATCAGATGAAAAATGAAGTCGCTGCGTTTTTTCTTTTTTCTTTTCTCATCCTGTTGTTCTGGCCTCACGCTGTAACCCGGGCCACTCTGTCCTCTGGACTTTTAACGTGAGGAAACTTGTGTTTTACCTTCAAGGACTCAGACCCCACAGACTAACAGTTGAGTTGAGGGGACAGATGGACTGCTCCATCATTTGGAGCTTTTTCCTTAATGTCCCATGATATGAGGCAGAGAGTGCTCAGAGTCTGCTGAGAGGCTCATTGTGTTGGACTCTATTGTTCTGCTCTGTCTTGTTCATTTCCACCAAACAAACTCAGTCAAGTAGAAAGTGGCGGGATGTTCTCAGTCTAATAACAGACACTGAGACTCTGTTCATCCTCTTCTTAGCTGCCATTGTTCAGGGCTGCAGGTGATTCCTACAGGAATACAGGTCACAGAACAGAGTGGACCTAGTTTATCATGAGATAAGTGAGAACACATGCACTTAATTTGGCACCATGTGGGTCCGACTGGAGGCATTAAGTAAATGTCTGTACATGGATCTGTTGGAGGCTTCTCCT